GGGTGCCTCAGGGCTCAGTGCTTTGAACACTTCTCGATCTACATGTCATCAACAGGATCTGTAATTCAGAAACATAACTTTCCTATTATTACTCTAACTCTCATTCCAATTGGAAAATCTGACGGTAACTGATCGCATCTCAGCCAGCCTGACAGACATTCCTTGCTGGATAAAGGACCATCACCTTCCCTACAATGACAGAACTAGTGGTTTTGGCCAGCCCAAAACTTCACCACAACTTCCCCATTCAGCTAGGGGCATTAAGGATATCTGTTTCCAGAACAGCCAGAGGGCATGTCATGCCTCTCTTCATCAATTTACATCGGTTGCCAATAGATGCTCGCAAATTCAAAATTCAAGGCACTGATGTTTGTCTACAGAATAACCGCTGGCTCTGCATCTCATACCTAAACTCACTACTTCAGACATTCTGCAATTGAAAGTCGCATTGTGGTGCCAGCCTAAAGAAGCACTAAATTACTGTCACAGACCTTTACCTTGACTGTTCCTTGCTGGTGGAATGACCTGCCTAATGTAACCCAAGCAAGCAGCTTGTCATTTTCAAGAATCGGCTAAAGAAAATCTTTTCATCAACACTTGACCAATTAACACTAGCACTTTCTATTCTGTTTATATTTATTAGAAGAAAAAATAATAAAATACTTGCTATGCATACTGTTTTGGACTAACTGGGACTTGTTAAAGTGCTTATATATTTTTGTTCCTCTGTTTTTTTAACTGCTTCTATTGTCTTCATTTATAAATCACTTTGAATACAAGTGTCTGCTACATGAGGCAGGGCACAAATGGCCAAATTATTTTTCTGATTCTGCCTCCACTTTTGGCTGGTTGCAGGATTAGAGTGGGAAATTGAAGGAGCCCAACTTCAGTGAGGGATTTAGTGCTTAAACGCCACTGTCTGAACTTTTGACTCCCTGAAAAGCCCAGAAGGTGAAAAAAACATTCTTGGCCTGTTTGTTCATGCCCCCATCATCAAGTTATGCTAAAATTTTGGGGATGAACGAATGTGGTTTATTAAGATGAATTATTGAATGACCTCGAACAAGCGGGGGGATGTACCTGGAATCTCTCCAGGAACTCCACTACACCACAGATCTTGCCTTCCGCTAAACAGGCAGCCCGTTCTGTCACCCGCTCTCTGGGAGCGATGGTGACTACAGACTGGCATCTGTGGCTAAAATTTTCGGGCATCCAGAAGCATCAAAATAACATCCTCCTTGATGCCCCAGATTCCATGTTCTCATGATGTAGGTGCAGGTCATAATCTCCAATAACTTCTCATACATGGGTGCGAAGGAGGAGGTGGGCTCGCTGACAACAACCACCTCAACTCCCATCTCATCCAGTCCCACAGAGTAGGATGGGGACAACAGTATGCTCTCTGCCAGAGCGGGATAAGCTGGAGACCAGGCTTCCAGGTCTGGCATGAGAGCCTCGGAGCTGTCAAGGGAAGCTTGAGATAGGTAAGGACCCATCCCAACCTGCTCAGCCAGCTCCATGACCACAGCCGCTGCACTACCTCAGTAGTAGCAGGACCCTATCCCTGGGTAATAGTCGCCAGGCCTCCATATCCCCCAGAAGAGAGATAAAGAGGGAATTTATCACAGTGAGAACAGCCAGCCTTCTCAAGGGCCAAGAGTACGTGTTCCGCTCTGAGACAAATGACACACAGTTCATATGTGTCGTCTGTTGTGACAAAGCAAGTGCATGGAGATACACATCTCTTGAACCAATTTTCACCTTCCATTCCTTTTTTTTTTTACAAAAAAAATTGACAGACTAGTTAAGGGTCGCTACACTGCAAACATATTTTGTGCTATATACATGGAAATTACAAGACACATGATTAATTCTTCACACACAAACAAATTTCCTGAAGACAAAAAAGCGTATGAGCCGGTAGTGTCATCCATTACAGTGGCCAAGCGAGCTTGGCATGTAGCACCAATGCTTCAGACACCAGCCCATACTGAAGGCATTCCCATAGCATCAAAACCATGACGTATCATTGAAGTTCCATTTCAAAGGCAAACACGTTACATAGAATTGCAAATCTGCAGTAATTCAACTGTAAAATAACTAACATTTTATTGACACAATTTTGTATATTTTTTATAGCTTATTAAGACAAAAGTGGTTTAGTTATATTCTTACCACAAAGTGTTACTAAGTGTTATTATTATTATTATTACTACTACCATAATAACTCATACAAATACAGTTTTATTGATAATATTAACAAATTGCTGGAATTAACATTAAATCTACAGTTAAGCAGACTTTTCAGGAATGTCTCTATTTATTTATTTAGCAAATTAATCTTCTATATGCTTATTCATGAATATGCCCAGTTGCCTAATATGCATGACATAAGTTTCATCATCTGTAGGGTCGAAGATGTCTAAAGATATATGCGGTGTACTTGATCTTGAGTTTGGAATGAGGTCAACTCCATGCTGTCCTCTACAGGTCAGGTAGATTATTACAAAGCAGTTACAGTGTGCATGTGTCAAACATGTCTGTTTGAGTTCATAATATGTGTAGTATACTTAAAATAGATAGATCCATGCATAACAGCAGGCAGAAAAAAATAAGTGTACCCCAGGCTTCAGTCCTCTGCTGCTATTCGCATAAAATTTCTATTAATAACTGTGCTTTACTTGTGGCTGAAATTTTGCTTGTTGAGCTTTGATAATTTATTTCCAATATGCAGAGTTTACAAAATTTGTTTCTTAAATGTACATTGTAACACAATTTGTAGATCGGGAAGAAGGAGGCGGGAACCGGCGAACATTCAAACATAATTTTAATAATAAAATAAACAAAACTTAAAATAGCGCGACAGCCCCTCACGGACGACTGCCGCGCACAAACAAAACCAAAACAACATAAATCCAGGCCTGGTCCTTTCTCGTCTTGCATTGTTGTCACTCCTCCTTTTATCCTTCCGGAGCTCCTCCATGGGACTCGAGACCGGTGAGTGGCGCAGGTGTCGTGCATTATCACTTACTCCACCGGCCTCGCTCCATTCCCACGGCTCTCGGCCCGCCCCACTTGTCACATACATGTGCATGAATTGTGTGAATTTATTGCATTGTTTCAACTTCACGCTAATAAAAGATGTATTTCTGTTGTGTATATGTAGCTTTTCGACCGTATCTGTGTGCATGATGCACATCTGCAATTTGCAGCAACCTGCAGCCTCACACAAGCTCTTTGCAAACGTATATGATACAACTGTTATGCTCACACAGCTGGAAAATGTAAAAGATTATTAAAAATGGTTAAAAAGCAAACATTTTCACACAGACACACAAATACCAACCTAAGGCTACAGCTCACAAAAGGGTAGCAATACACTCTGATCATGCAAAATGTAGCACCTCCTTCAAATGAGGTCAACATATGTAATTTCCCAGCAGATTATAAGATATCTATAAAAACCTCAAAGTCCTTCTATTAGCTGAAATATCAGAGCTGACACAATTGACATATGATAGTATCTATTAAGTGGGTGAATGGAGCCACTGGTTGCACTGCTACATATGGTAATAGCCATCATGACCTTCTCTAAAGCTAACACAACTGTTTGTACTCTGCGAGGAGAGCCTGTACATCCTGAGCTATGGAAAGATGGGGATATTATAGTTGGAGGGGTTTTCTCTTTCCATAGCAGCTGGGAAATCAGGCAGCTGACATATTCAATTATGCCACCTCCACTGAAGTGCATCAGGTAAGTAAAAGCAGAGAAATAGTATGATACAATTTTGTAAATACAAGTGCTACGTTAAATGATTTATTCATAGTTTCATTTGAGTTTCACTTTGTTTTGTTTTTTTAACAAGTCTTAATTTTAGAGACTTCCAGTACGCACAGTCCATGCTCTTCGCAATAGAGGAAATTAATAACAGTTCCACTTTGCTACCTGGGGTCTCATTAGGCTACAAGATCTACGACACGTGCGGATCAGTGGCGGTTGGGGTTCGAGCAGCTATGGCCCTTGCAAATGGGTATGAGAAAATGTCTGTTGAAGGGCCCTGCACAAAGCATGCTGAAGTGCAAGCCATTATTGGGGACACAACTTCTTCAGCGTGCATGGCAATATCAAAGGGTATTGGACCATTCAAGCTTCCATTGGTATGATTTTATGTCACAATTTACAATTTATCCCAATATAGTTTTTAAATTATATGAAAATGTTAAATTGTAATCTATGTTTTAAATAAATAATAAATGCTACTGAATGCAATTAATGTATTTTTACTGGATTTTATGTCTAAACATTGCTTCTGTATATATTAATCTCTTAGATCAGCCACTATGCCACCTGTGAATGCCTTAGTGACAAAGTCAAATATCCCTCATTTCTTCGAACTATTGCAAGTGATCACTACCAGAGTAGAGCACTGGCAGAACTGGTTAGGCACTTTGGCTGGACCTGGGTGGGAGCCTTAAGAACGGATGATGATTATGGTAACAATGGGATGGCCACTTTTACTAAGGTGGCTGAACAGATGGGTATCTGTTTGGAATATTCTCTCCCGTTTTTCAGAACCTACCCTGAAGATAAAGTGATAAGGATAATTGAGCAGATTAAAAGCTCTACTTCACGAGTGATTGTGGGATTTCTTGCTCATTGGGACTTGGAGGTTCTGCTGCATAAATTTGTTGAACACAATATTACTGGATACCAGTGGGTAGGCACCGAAGCCTGGATATCTGATTCAGTCATTGCCAGTATGGATAAGCACCACATTCTACAAGGAGCAATTGGTCTGGCTATACCCAAAACACAAGTGACAGGTCTTCAAGAATTCATTCTAGATATAAAACCACTGAAGTCTTTGGGAGGTGCTATTTTTACTGAGTTCTGGGAAGCCCTGTTTCAGTGTAAATACTCAACTAAGAATGATTTTGTGTCCACAACTCCATGTACAGGCAATGAGGAACTGTCTCAAGTGCAAAATTTATTTACAGACATGTCACTCATGCCCATCTTCAGCAATGTGTATAAAGGAGTGTATGCTGTTGCTTATACACTTCATGACCTTCTGGGATGCAAAGAAAAATGTGACTCAAATAAACAGCCTGATCCTTCAACAGTGGGTTAACACTATTTTATTTCTTCTGCTATATGAAATTCAGTATTCGCTAAGCTTTTACATATGGACACAGTATATTCAACAATTCATTATTTGCACTGTATGTATATGTCATTTTGTTGAGATGTACTGTTTGCCATGTCAATCAGTTTAGTTAACGACTGCTTTATATAGTGAATATTTTGTCTTTTTTCCCCTTCAGTTTCTGAAGCACCTGAGAAAGGTGCATTTCAAAACAAAAGATGGTGAGGATGTTTATTTTGATGAGAATGGTGATCCAGTGGCAAAATATGACATTATAAATTGGCAGCCAAGTAAAAAACAACACTATGAATTTGTTACTGTTGGGCTTTATGATGCTTCTTTTCTGGGGATAGATCGTTTAGCTGTCAATATGCTATCAATTTTATGGACAAATAATTCCACAAAGGTGAGGAAAAAGAGAAAAACTTATTTTCTGAATATCAGTTTTCAGTGTCAGTAAATGGCAATGCCTATATATTTTTGTCACAGGTACCGGTGTCTGTGTGCAGTGAGAGCTGCCCCCCTGGCACTAGGAAAGGTGTGAAGAAAGGAAAGCCTATATGTTGTTATGACTGCATACCATGTACAGAGGGAGAAATCAGTAACACTTCAGGTAAAATTAAATCACTATATCCATAAAGAAAGAAAACAATACACACACACACACACACACACACACACACACACACACACACACATATATATATATATATATATATATATATTATTATTATTTTTTTTTTTTCTTTCTCTCTCTCTCCTGTTATTAATTATTACATCCATTTCATACAGATTCTGTAACATGTCTGCGGTGTCATCAAGACTTCTGGTCAAATATGCAAAACGATGGATGTGTTAAGAAGGAAACAGAATTTTTGTCTTATGAGGAGATCATGGGGATTTTGCTCACAACTATTTCAGTTGTTGGTGCATTTATAACAATAATAATTGCAGTCATATTTTTCAGATATAAAAATACCCCAATAGTTAAAGCCAACAACTCAGAATTAAGCTTCCTGCTACTGTTTTCACTGATGTTGTGTTTTCTCTGTTCACTTACTTTTATTGGTCGGCCCACTGAGTGGTCCTGTATGTTGCGTCACACAGCATTTGGCATCACTTTTGTCCTCTGTATCTCCTGTGTTCTGGGGAAAACAATAGTGGTCTTAATGGCTTTCAGGGCTACACTTCCAGGAAGTAATGTCATGAAATGGTTTGGGCCTCCTCAACAGAGACTCAGTGTTTTTGCATTTACTCTTATACAAGTGCTTATTTGTGTGCTTTGGTTAACAATATCTCCCCCTTTTCCATTTAAAAATATTAAATACTTCAAAGAAAAGATAATACTAGAGTGCAATGTGGGATCAGTTGTAGGTTTCTGGGCTGTGTTAGGTTATATTGGACTGCTTGCTATTCTATGTTTCTTTTTGGCTTTTCTGGCTCGGAAACTCCCGGATAATTTTAATGAAGCCAAATTTATCACATTTAGTATGCTCATATTTTGTGCTGTTTGGATTGCTTTCATACCAGCTTATGTTAGTTCGCCTGGAAAATTCACAGTGGCAGTGGAGATATTTGCCATTTTAGCCTCCACATATGGAATGTTATTTTGCATATTTATTCCTAAATGCTATATCATTTTATTGAAACCAGACAAGAACTCTAAAAAACATTTGATGGGTAAATTACCCCCAAGGGCCCTGTGAGTGTAAAATATTAAAATATAATAATATTGTAGATGAAAATAAAACATAATTTACACTGTTACTTTTACCGTCCTGTACTTTTACCACCCTATTTTTAGTTATGTTGATTATTATCGTCATGATGGCACTTTTCTTATTGAACTGTGTATGTTGGACCATTACATGATAAAACTAACAACATCTCTGTTTTGCCTAATACAGTTAGCAAACATAAATGGTGAATCCTTTATTCTTTGTTTCATTCACTTATTCTATTGACTTACTACGGTGGCCGAGAGAGCTCATCGATGAAATGACAAAGTAAATATATGTTTTTTTCAATCAGCACTGTATATACAATGAAACAATCAAGATGAAATTGAAGTGCAGACTTTAAGCTTTAATTCAAGGGGTTGAACAAAAATATTACATAAAATGTGTATGCATAAAAATGCAACCATTTTTATACACAGTCCCCCCTTTTTCAGGGGCTCAAATGTAATTGGACAAATAAATACAATCATACATAAAATGTTAATTTTTAATATTTTGTTGAGAATCATTTGCAGGCAATGACTGTCATAAGTCTGGAACTCATGGATATCACCAGAGACTGGGTTTCCTCCTTTGTGATGCTTTGCCAGGCCTTTACTGCAGCTGACTTCAGTTGTTGTTTGTTTGTGGGTCTTTCTGCTTTTAGTTTTGTCTTCAGCAAGTGAAATGTATGCTCAATTGGGTTCAGGAGATCAGGAGATCACAATCAGAATTAGCTTTATTGTCAGGTATGTTTCCCAGTTAGCACGTGAGATCATGCAATGATCACAGTGACATCACGCGATCCTCATACTGTGATCCTCAAAGTGTGAGTAGTATGTGAGCTCAGCTCAACCTTGCCAGTGTACTTTAAAAAAATATATATATATTTATTATTATTATTTTTTTTATTAAAAGAAAGTACACTGGCAAGGTTCTTAATTCCATCTACAACATGTTTGATGGTGTCAATGGCATATCGCCCTGCAGCCAAAGACTGGTTGCCCACTGAAGCTAAGCAGGGTTGAGCCTGGTCAGTACTTGGATGGGAGACCTCCTGGGGAAACTAGGTTGCTGCTGGTAGAGGTGTTAGTGAGGCCAGCAGGGGGGGCTCACCCTGTGGTCTGTGTGGTTCCTAACGCCCCATTATAGTGACGGGGACACTATATTGTCAAAAAGCACCGTCCTTCGGATGAGACATTAAACCAAGGTCCCGACTTTCTGTGGTCCCAGGATATCTTTCGAAAAAAGAGTAGAGGTGTGACCTCGGCATCCTGGCCAAATTTACCCATTGGCCTCTGACCAGCATGGCCTCCTAACAATCCCCATATCTACTGATTATCTACCAATAAGCTGGTGTGTGGTGGGCATTCTGGCGCACTATGGCTGCTGTCACATCATCCAGGTGGATGCTGCACACTGGTGGTGGACGGTGCAACAGACAGGACGTGGGCTAGGGCTAAGGCAAGGGCTCCGTAAAGTAGCTATCTCTAGGGGAGTGATAAATGCTGAAACAATACTCGGCAGAGTGAAGGGATCAGAGTGAGTGTTAAATAGTGAGGGAGTATATGAAACAGCTGGGTGCAATCAGTGTAAACAGCTGTGTGTAATCTGTGCTGAGTGCAATCAGTGCGATGCATGATGGGAAATGTAGTCCGGGGTGATGTGCAACAGTGTGTAGTGCGAGAGTCAATGAAATTGGAAGTTCATGGACCGGATTCGTGACAGTATAGTTATAAACTTTATCTTTTAAATAATTTAATCACACTTCAAATAGTGTTTTTCACAATTTTGCATGGTTGCAAAGCAGCTTTACATACATATGTGACCCTGGACCAAAAAAACAGGTAGCACAGGTATATTGCCAACAATACATTGTATGGGTAAAATTTTTTTTCTATTTATGCCAAAAATTCAATTCAAGTTCAATTCAGTAAGTTTATTTGTATAGCGCTTTTCATGATACAAATCGTTGCAAAGCAACTTTACAGCAAATTAAGTTTCTAAAATATTTAGTGGTAGCTTAATCAGTGGTGGCACATTTGAACATTCAATAGCAAATACTTGAACTAATAATAAAACAGTAGCTGATTCAGAAGCGCCAGATTGTCATAGCAAAGTCAGAATGACCTCCTCTCCTTGGTTCATTGCAGACATGTACGGAAAAATCAATCGGAAAAATCATTAGGATATTAAGTAAAGATCATGTTCCATGAAGATATTTTGTACATTTCCTACCGTGAATATATATAAACTTAATTTTGATTAGTAATATGCATTGCTAAGGACTTAATTTGGACAACTTTTGCACCCTCAGATTCCAGATTTTCAGATAGTTGTATCTCGACCAAATATTGTCTTATCCTAACAAATCATACATAAATGAAAGATTATTTATTCAGCATTTAGATGATGTATAAATCTAAAAAAAATAAAAAATAATAAAAATTGACCCTTATGACTGGTTTTGTGGTCCATAGTCACATATATAAAGTAGTTACAAAAGTAAAAATATGTAAACAACATATAGTCATGGATTTGAAATGGTGAAAGAAATTCACGAACTTGATCAGAAGGTTTATTACTTTAGTATATTCCCAATACACTCCAATGCACCTGTACCAACACACTTTTTTCCATTAATGGTTCTTTAATGTTCCGTATGGACAATGACAATGTTGCACTTGGAAATGTGGACTGCAGCTCTTTGGGCTGTCAAAATATAATGAATTATTAAACTAATTATTAAAATGATCCTGACCTGCCCTCAAAACTACACAAAAAGTTAAAATGTCAAATAAATTCAGAGACGTTAACTACATGAAAAGTAACAAAATGTTATAAAATAATTTCAATTCACACGTCACATATAAATCCTCAGCGTACCGCGAGACCGTCAAACCGCCAAAACATTTCATTGCATTTTACATTAACATTTGTGCAGTGCATTGAGAGTTGAAGCATGCAGAGACAATAGGCAGAGATGTTACGGATGGTTTTATTCCTTCCGCATGCACTGAAACATAAGCAGTACGTTCACATTCTTCCACCAACTAACTAAAGTTAGTTTTAGGTTCAATATTCACCAGACATTCACATTCGCATTCGCGTGCCACTGTTCTATAGAGTCGACAGTCCAACAAAGATACCACTACCATGATTACTGTTAACAATATGCAACAACTTTATATCGACATGAAAATATTATTTAAAGGGGTCATATGATGCTTTTTTAAAGATCATTATTTTGTGTATTTGGTGTAACAGAATATGTTGACATGCTTTAATGTTCAAAAAACACATTATTTTTCAAATACTGTACATTATTGTAGGTCCTCTATGCCCCGCCTCTCTCAAACGCTTCGTTTTCTACAAAGTCCCTCCTTCCGACAAGCGCAGTCTGCTCTGATTGGCCAGCTGACCCAGTGCATTGTGATTGGCCGAACACCGCAAGCACTCGTCAGAAATGTAACGCCCCTTACCATAATCGCGAGCTTCATCTTTCAAAATAAATGTAAAGACAGAGCCCGAAAGGGGAACAGAGTCGCGTGACAGACACAATGATGAAGCTGGTATGTGTTTGTGATGTGCCCCCCCCCCCTCCCTCTCTCTCTCTCTCGTGCTCTCTCTCTCTCTCGCTCGCTCGCGTGCACACACACACACGATGCACAAAACTCCGCATTTGAACATTCAATAGCAAGTACTTGAACAGGAAGGCCAAATAAAGTGCTTTTGCTTTCGCACTGAAACACACAGCGTCTCCCTGACATGCTGCTTCAACACTAACTGCGGTTACTGAAACCACGCCTTCTTTCTTTGCGTGCATATTTGGGCGGCATTATGCTAATATTTCCACATAGTGAGGTAGATATGTGGGGGCGTGTTAGAACGAGCCGTTTTAGGGGGGCGTGGCAGAGTCTTAACTTTGATAAAGAATATCTCTTTGGTTTTGAGACTTTAGTCTTTGCAACTTCAGGGATCGTATCTATGCACAATCAGCTTGTAACACTCCAAAGAGAAAGGAAAACTTGAAATCGCATCATATGACCCCTTTAAAAACCGCCTAGTATTGTAGCAGCAAATTTAAACTGGAGAAAGCTTTGATGTGTTATAGCAGTAGGGATGGTACAGTAAACAAATATTTTCATGAAAAAAATACTGTAATTCACCAGAAGTGTTTTTATTAATGTTCCAAAGGTCATAGTACATTCCTAGTTACAATACTAACTTACTATAAGTGAAATTTTACAAATACTTCCTTTACTGTATCTACAGTACACATGTATTTTATGACAAAATTATAGCAATTTACAAAAAAAATGTCCCACACTCCAAAGGTTGAAGTACATTCCTATATACAATACGGCAGTGCAATTACTACACATGAAATGTTGCCAATATATCTCTTACTGTACATACAGTACATAGTTATTCTTAGAAAACAGTACTAAAATTAACCAATTTTTATTTTTTTCATGTTCCAAAGGCTGTAGTACGTTTGTTGTTACAAGACTGACTTACTACAGGTGAGATGTTGCCAATATCTCTCTTACTGTACATAAAGTACTTAATTGTTCTTAGGAAAATTATTGTAATTCACTAAAGTGTTTTTTTCATATTCCAAAGGCTGTAGTATGTTTGTAGATACAAGACTGACTTACTACATGTGAAATTTTACATGTGAAATTTTGCCAATATATTCCTTACTGTATGTATAGTACACAAATATTTTTATGAAAAAAATTACTTTAATTCACCAAAAGAGTTTTTTCATGTTCCAAAGGCTGTAGTGCGTTTGTAGTTACAAGACTGACTTACTACAGGTGAAATTTTGCCAATATCTCCCTTACTGTACATACAGTACATAATTATTCTTAGAAAATAATTACTGTAATTCACCAAATGGGTTTTTTATGTTCCAAATGTTGTAGTAAATTTCTAGTGGCCAGACTGACTTACTACAGGTGAACTTTTGCCAATATCTCCCT